ATGTTTCATAGTGTTGGTATTGTAAGTTTTAATAAAAATATGTCTAACAATGTAGTTATGTAATTTTGGTACCGGGAATGGCGAGAACAAAGACTCCATACTACGTGTCGACGACAAAAAAAAAACCGGCAGAAAAAGAACCTTCTGGAAAACAGCCTGCTATCTATGAATCTCGGCAGGTTGTCATCCGTGAAGGGGAGTCATCTGACTCTAATTCAGGCCCTAGTAATATATAGCCACGAGATGGGTTAACGAAGTGTCCGTGCGAGAAGAAGAAGAAGAAGAAGAAGAAGAAGAAGAAGAAGAAGAAGAAGAAGAAGAAGAAGAAGAAGAAGAAGAAGAAGAAGAAGAAGAAGAAGAAGAAGAAGAAGAAGTGAAAGCCAGTTCGGGAAGCAGTGTTTCTTTTCTATAGTTTTAGGAGTATGCTATTGGTTTATGTATGTTTTGGAGTATGAACAAAGTTTGAGCATTTGTTGAGCATTTTTTTAATGTAAACCATTTGCGTTGAAGAAAACCCCAAATGTTGGTGAAGCACTTAATATGATTTTGTGTTACAGTAGTAATTCTCCTGCTTTTCTAATTACAAATGGACTAGTAGTGGTACATGTACGAGTAACTAGTACTGGTAAGTACTAGTGGTATGTGTAACAGTAACTAGTACTGGTAAGTAACAAAAACCAGTAGTGGTACCAGCACCAGAAACTAGTGGTACCAGTACCAGATTTAATATTTCCGTTACAAGTAACTAGTAGTGGTACCAGTATCAATAACTAGTAGTGGTACTTATATCATTAATAGTTACTAGTACATGTACCTTTACAAGAGAACACTTTGAAATGGTTATCTAGTGTTAGACAACTAAAGTATAAAGACAACAAAACCTCATCTGAATAACGTTATATCTTCCACAAGGGACAAGTTTGATTGTATCTTGAACCGAATTTGAATTGAAACATCTAACGAAACAAATGACAAACAATATTTAGGTTTTGCTTTTTCCCTCTTTTTGTTCAGCTCCTTATTCAATTGTTTTCTTGCCAATTCACTTGCAATCTCCAGAGTCGGCACCAACCTCTTCTTATATCTTTTCTTGTCCTGCCGCTGCTTCATTTTGGACGCTAAAGAAGCTTTGTCATCAATGGGTTCTGAAGTTGTTAATGGGCCTTCGTCCATGTTTTCAGCCCATTTTTGGTGTTTCTACGAAAAATAGAGAGTCTTTGGTTGACAAGCTAAACGAACACATATCAAATCTTATATCAATGTTAAGACTAAATAAACTATACTGGTACTCAAATCTACTAGTAGCTGGAACTGGTAGTACAAATACCAGTGACTGGCAACAAGTAGCAAAGATTAGACAAACTTACTTTTCACGATGTCATCAGCTTCTAGTTTGAGCTTTTCCAAAGTAAAAGTCAATAGCTCATAGGCTTCATCATTTGAAGCAAGCCTAGTAGTTAATACATTCATAGTCCCATTGATGACCACTGGAAATACACAACCATTAGATTACTACCACTAGACCACTACATGATTATCACTAATATACCACCACTACTAACGACTAGCACTAGCTAACTTATAACACTATTCTGTCTTGGCATTATTTGTACCATTAACATAAAAATACCTGTTCAACGGAAGACATGACTACACTAGTTAACCCTACCGAGAATGTTGTCGCCGACGATATTATTCCAGCCGTCGTCATTGTCTTCAACGGGCTCGAGTGCCTGCGGTTCAAAATTGTGATAGTTCTCCACGTTGGCGTTGTCCGTCTTTTCGTGGTTCTCTGGAAACTTTACGTTGAGCAAGTCCTCCACGTCGGAAACTCCGGCACCATCCTCCTTGAAAACATCACCACCATTGTCCGCCTCTTTAGCTACCATCGTCGTGGCTCATGTAGTCGTCCATTGTTTACCGACGACATCGTCAAGGTATTGCCAGGGAAGTGTCCATTGTTAACCCTACCGAGAATGTTGCGGCCGACGATATTATTCCTGCCATCGTCATTGTCTTCAACGCGATCGAGTGCCTGCGGTTCAAAATCGTGATTGTTCTCCATGTTGGCGTTGTCCGTCTTTTCGTGGTTCTTTGGAAACTCTACGTTGAGCAAGTCCTCCACGTCGGAAACGCCGACACCATCCGCCATGAAAACATCACCACCATTGTCCGACTCTTTAGCTACCGTCGTCGTCGTGGCTCATGTAGTCGTCCATTGTATACCAATGGCAACGTCAATGTATTGTCAGGGAAGTGACGCGAGCGGTTATGGAAGGGGAAGAATCCAGGAATTGAAGGGGAATAAACATGAGAGGCGGTTATGGTTAGTAGCAATCCATCCCACAAATCACGCTCCATAATATTTTCCCCATGCATTTATATTTTATTTTCAAAATCAATCCATTAAGCTAGTTACACAAATGCCCTTGTTGTTTTCTGAACCATCGGATGTAGAAGGGAGATCTACGGTTGGGAATTGAGAAGCAAATTCACAACCCCCATAGGGGAAGTGATGCTATCCCTAGGGTTTTTTATTAGAGAATCCATCAAAGCTACTCGAAATCGTTTTGTTCCTGACACAGTCTTGGAGGATCGATTCCAAAGAGGATAGAGTGCGAGATGGGGAGAACATCATGTTCCCTCAGATGAAATTGAAGGGAGAGATTAGGAATCAAAGCGAACCACCATGAGAGGCGGTTATGGTTAGTAGCAATCCATTCCACAAATCACACTCCATAATATTTTCCCCATGCATTTATATTTTATTTTCAAAATCAATCCATTAAGCTAGTTACACAAATGGCCATGCTGTTTTCTGAACCATCGGATGTAGAAGGGGGGTCTATGGTTGGGAATTGAGAAGCAAAATTCACAACCCCCATAGGGGAAGTGATGCTATCCCTAGGGTTTTTTACTAGAGAATCCATCAAAGCTACTCGAAATCGTTTTGTTCATGACACAGTCGTGGAGGATCGAGTCCAAAGAGGATAGAGTGCGAGATGGGGAGAACATCATGTTCCCTCAGATGAAACTGAAGGGAGAGATTAGGAATCAAAACGAACCACCATACCCGACGATTATGACAACCTCTTGTATTAGGCCAACTCATTGCACCACATCATCCTCCCCGACCACCACCTCGCCATTGATTCCTCTCCATTAGAGATGCACATCCCCTATCCTAATTCTTTGACTCTAACTCGAAGGAGTTTCTCGTTGTCGTCATGAAGGCAGGTTGCCGAAGAAGCTGACTGGAAAGTGAAGGTTTTTTGGGGCGGGAAACCCATATCTACCTCACCTTAGTGAATGAATCCGGAGGCAGCGCCGTGGAAGAGATGATGCCTTGATATAGAAGAGGGAGCTCGAGTTGTCAAAAGGACCAAGTGGGGATGGGAAAGCAATGGAAATCGAGTAGGGATGACAAAATTAACCATACCCATGGATATCCACCCGAATTCGAAATATTATCTGTGGGTATGGGTAAAACCCGAACTCAAATATTACGGTTGATTGGTGGGCATGGTTTTCTCACTAACAGATCCGAACCCACCCGAATATACACATACATTTGTACTTTGTTTCAAAATGATTAATTTTCTCACCATATTTGATATTTTGATACTTTATTGTTGTAATTTGTCACTTACGTAATGTTAGTATATGTGTAATTGTTAACATATTGGTTGAACTTATGAAAAATTATTATCCATGAATAACTGTAAATATTCGAAACACAATCAGGTATGAGTGTAGTTTTAATATACTAACCGATTTTTATATGGGTATAGATATGGATAAAATTAAAACTATTTCGAGTAGGATAATAGACATATCCATCCTTCCCAACCCGTTGCCATCGCGAAAATCTAAAGATGGGTTGGGTAACCAATTCAATGCCAACCTTTCTTGTCCTCCATCACTTTAGCCATGTTTTGTTGGACTTGAGTTGATACTTGAGAGCCCTTCCCGTTACCAAATAAAAAATGACAGTGGTGCAAGATACCATAATTCTTTTAACTTCCATAATATTCATGGATGAATATTGCTTTTTTTTTTTAAATTTGCCATCAGTATGGCATATTAAAAGGTATTTACACAAATATTGTGTATTTGTGTAGGGTTATAGGCGCGACCGCTAGAGACCCAGGTGAGGCCGCGATTTGAATCCCTAAAACCAGTCTTAGGCACTAGCGTTGGAGACTCAAGCGCCCCCGCCATCCCCTCATTTTTTTATTAACTACGCGATGCCCTCCCACCTTTCCTTTCTTATAATGTTCTTTTTCTTCCTTCCCACACCACACACCCCGCTCTCTCTCGCTAGACCCGCCACCATGCCGCCGAGGAGGGCGACCCCGCCGCAGACAGAGGCTCCCCCGCTGCAGACAGAGGCGGCAGTGCCTAAGTTCAACCTCGACGGAGATGTCCGACGACGAGGAAGCAGTCGCCGGCAAAGGCAGGGGGAGAGGCCGGCGAAGTCGTGGAGGCGGCGACTGTTTTCGTGGTGAGAATCTCGCCGCCGCCGGCGGTTTTTTTAATTTTTTTAATTAATGTCTTTGTTGCTTTTGCTGTTCCTAGACTTATGGACAGTTATTCCATGAGACTACCGTCTGCGACAATTGATCCAGTTTGGGCAAACGAGGTAAGTATTTGATAACTATTTCTGTAAAGTTAATTAGCTAGTTAGATTAGACTATTTTACTAGGTGAACTGAACTGTACTGAAATTAGAATAGAATTACGTATCAATTTTTTTGAAATTAGTATAATTTTATATTAGATTAGATTGATTAGATTTTACTATGTGAAATTAGAATTATTACGAATGAAATTGAATTAATATAAGTTTTGTGCACTATAGGCCGGTGATCGACCTTACCATGTTCGAGGTACGACCAATTTAGTCACGTACCATGAGCGTTATCTGCCATATCTTGGAGCGGTGGGCTTGTCTAGTGTTTTGCCCCTGGTCCCTATGAATGTTGATGCGAGTTTGATTACTACGTTTGAGAGCGTTGGCAACCCGAGACGTCGACCTTCCACTTGACGTTTGGCGAGGCAAGATCGCGTTAGAAGACGTTTTGACACTGTCCGGTCTGGCGATCGACGGTGATGCAGTTGTAGTTAACATACCGGATGAGGAGTTGTCGGAGATCTGTTTGAGACTGTTAGGACGGGTTCCTGATGATCTTTCCGGCGGTGTCGTTAGGATTGTTTGACTGAAGGATGAATTCAATCATCTGCCGGAAAATGCATACCAGGAGGTTACAGAGAAGTTTGCACGAGCTTATGCTCCATCTATGATGGGAGGTGTACTGTTTCCGGATTGGTCTGGAGCTACAGTGCACCTACAATACCTACTTTTGGTGGAGGATTGGCAGAGAGCTGGACGGCTCGCCTAGGGAGCAGCTGTTTTATCCTACCTGTACCGTTAGATGGGCAGGTCGGCTTTGCACATTTCGCATTCCTCCACTTCTCTAGGAGTCTGACCTTGGTGGATGGGTCCCCTTACTGCAGCTCTGGGCGTGGGAGCGATTCCCACATCTTACACCGCGACATTCATAGACGAGGGCGCAGATTGCCGAGGATGCATCCCCACATGGTGTTCGATGGCTTCCGACCAACACTCGTCAGTATGGTGACCAGCTATTCCAGTACAAGTTGTGGTTTGATGAGATGGAAACCATGGTGGTTAGTATATAACATTTCATTTTATAGAATAGTTTTCATTTGTTTGTTTTAGATATAGGGATAATAACATGACCATTTTTTGTGTGTAGTGGCAACCTTACATTGAGAGAGCACTTCATCTCAGAGGTAGTATGATACAGTCAGAGAAGTTTCGAGCAGTAGTGCCACTGATCTGCTTTTCAGCGGTGATGTGGCACCATCCAGACCGCGTGCTCTGGCAGTTTGGCATGAGGCAGCCTGAGCCTCATCAGCCACATCCTGAGGTTGAGGTTAGGTTTTTCCTTCGTCAGACTACTCGTGGGAAATCACGTGGGTATAGCAGGTACACGCCTCGAGAGAGTCGCTTGCTTTTTGGAACCGTCGACATGAGTTCATAGCGACGCTCCATACAGTGATGAGGTTTTAGCCTACCACTCGGAGCATATGGAGTGGTATCGAGATGTCACCAGACGTTCAGGCACACATAGAGGAGCTGTAGTGGAGGCATTGGTTAGTTATTTATTGTTTAATATTTTTTTGTATTTGTCTTGAATTTCTTAACTGTTAGAACACTCAGATTTGGTTGGGCACGTACCAAATGTTTGACGGACTCAGATATAATATCGATCAAGATGGCGATGATCCGTCAGTTGAGTCGTACTGCTACAAGAATGCAGCAACTTGGCCTTTCTCACAGTCCAATCGCTTCCAACATCTCGACATTCCAAATCGCACCATCCAAGGACAATTGTCATCCTTGTGCTTCAAGCATCTGACCTTCCAGATTGAAGGTGACGACTCCACCACGCTATATTGAAAGTTGCGTTGTAGTGCGTGGTATTTAATCGCCACCTGTGCAGCTTGTTTCGAGTGAAATATCTGCCCCTTGTAGAATTCTCCTTCAAAACTAGCAATAATAGGCATTGAAATTATGCCATATGAATCAGCATATGATAATTCGTCGTCCTCTTCATTACCCTGCAAGTAAAAATATTGAGGATAATTAGGCTACTCTCCTTCGCCATCCTCCTCCTCCTCTTCCGCATCTTCCTCCTCTCCGTCAACATCGTCATGATCGGATGGCATGCTCCATGTATCTTCTTCTTCTCCATCCAGATTCTCATTGAGCTCAGCATGTATCTCAGCACCCAAACAATAAGGGTTTTGTGCCATAAAATCGAAAAGCACATTCAAACTATCATAATCCACAATAGGCATCGCATAATAAAATAAAACACCATTCTGCCATTCTGGAAGACGGTAAGTGAAACCTGTGATCACTTCACTATCTTGTACTGCTTCGTCTCTACGCCGTATTCTCGGAATTAGATTCTCACAAAGTTTGTGATATGTCACCGTGGATGGAACCGTCAACTGCAAACTACTACCACCAACGAATTGGATGCCCAAATCATCCTCTACTTTCTCAGATTTCCACAAAACGACTAGTTCAAATATTCTAAAATCACTACAGAAAAACAAAATCACTAATTAACTAAACAAAATCATAATAGCATTTGAAGGATATAATTAAAAAAAAAATGTGTCTCTTACCTATTAGCCATTTATGCAGCAGCAACCAGAGCTTCTCCTCCTCTAACTTCGTCGATTTTTTTGTGGTGAGCAACTGAAAGGAAATTCGCTGGTTTTTTATAGGGGTAGCCAGCAATAGGCCAGCGGATCCGCCATAGTCCTGGGCGCCATCGCTAGGTACAAAAGCCCACCAACTCGCCTCAGTCTCTGGCGGTACCACCTCAATCTTGGGCGGCGGCACTGTCACCTTAATCAAATGATCCTAAAAAACAGAAATAGCGGCAGCGCCTGAGTCTCAGGCGTTCTCGCCAAATTTGCTCTCCAAAACACAATAACTATGTCAATACTTTTTAATCCGCCATATTGACGGTAAATTAAAAAAATAATACAATATTTATGTCATTAACCCATTTCAATGGTTGTTAGTTGAACCAACAAAAAAACAAAAGGGAAAAGAAAGCGAAGACCATAATATAAAATAGACTTGCATCGATCAGGGCATTGTTCGCGGGCTCTGCTTCAAGTTCCCGCAAATTTCTTTTGATTTTCCCGCCGAAAGAGGGGAGGTGGGACTTTAGGCGGAAATATTGCTGGCAGTAGGAATGGCAATTTCGACCTGACCCGTTTTACCCGACCTGTTTGACCTGTTTTGGGGCGGGTCCGACCCGCCCCGTAGGTGGGGCGGGGCGGGCATGGGTATTCTCATAGACCCGACCTGCCCTGACCCGCCCCATTCTCGACCCGTTCTCCCCTAAATTACACTTAATTTTAGTCAAATTACTTAGGATTTTCCTTTTACTAAATCAAATTTTAGCTGTAATAAAGTTGTAAATTAGTGAAAACCTCAATTTCTCTAATAATTTAACTATATTTATCATAATATTGTTTGTTTCCATGGTCTTATAATAAAAATAACGAACATTTCTAATATTTTTCATATAAATTGCTTACCCATTGGGTCGACCTGCCCCGACCCGTGACCCGTGATAAATTACCCGACCTGGACCCGACCTGCCACGGGGCGGGTCTGGGTACCAAGAAACCCGCCCCGGACCTGCCCCATTGCCATTCCTAGCTGGCAGTGGCACTTCAACATTGTCCCTATCAACAGTTCAACACAAAAGCATGACTTGAATTAATGTCGGATTACATTGAGGGACCAAGTTTGGACCTTGTTAATTGGTTCGGAAAAGAAAGGGTTCGGTTAGCCTGACTACCCCTAAAGGGGTAGTGATTTTTGACACCCCCTTTATGATTGGCCAATTTTATTTCTAATTATTGGCATGTATTAATTAAACTGGTTTTTTTATTTTTTTTAATCTTGTAATTTCGGGTCTCTCACCACATTGGAAAAGAGAAAGAATCTGGGGAAAAACGAAATCACCCCCATTAATTACATAATTAATTTCTCTCACTGGTACATTAATTACACGTACCACTCCATTGGTACACGTACCACTCCACTGGTACACGTACCACTCCACTGGTACACGTACCACTCCACTGGTGCGAGCAATCCACAAGGTAGGTTAGAGTGAGAACAATACCAGTGCAATGATATTTTTCATAACAATGATAAACAATAACGGAGCAACAATGCAGTACCACTTCAATGATACAAATACCACTCCACTGGTACACGTACCAATCCAGTGGTACACGTACCACTCCACTGGTACACGTACCACTCCACTGGTACGTTTCCTCTGCCGCCGTCTTCCATATGCTCGACGTTAGAGACGAAATCGTCCAGATCATCTTGATGATTTCCGACCGTGTGAAGTGATGAAGTCGATGTCGCATGAGAGGAGACTCGAGGGGAACGGAGGGACGGGAGAGGGTCAGCGGAAAGGGAGGCAACGATAAGTTGGGCCACTGATGGAAGTTGGCCGAGGAGGGTGGACCGCCGGAGGGAGGGTTTGCTGGACTGAGAAGACGCCGGGAGAGGGTTCTGGTGGAAAGAAATTTGAAAGGAAGAGAAGGGGAGATGAAAGATTGTTGTTTCCCGTGTATCATTATTATGGAAACTTTCCCATGCATCATTATTATGAGAATTTTCCCAATAAAGCAATAATAATGACAACTTCCCAATAAAACAATAATCATTAATACTTACCCAAAGATGAAGGACACGTGGATAGCTGCAGGAGGGGGTGTCAAAAACCCAACCCCTTTTGGGGTAGTCATAGTATCCTGCCCTATCCACTATTCTATTTTCATATTTGTAAAAACTAAAAAGTCTATGTCTAACTACCTTGCAAGTGTGCAACAAATTCAGGTTCTACTAAATCTCATTCGAAAATTATTTGGAAACTTCGCCTTGGTTGACGTTAAACTTCATTTCTACTTCTCATTCCAGTTGTTGTTACTTGTAACACCATTTTATGACTATCTTATCATATTTGTTCATGTTGGGTGGAAAATGCACGAGAAAATCAAATTTCCAACCACTTTGTCTCTACCGTTTGAGTTGTGTGGACAAAATCGTCGTCTAAGAAAATTGAGTCAGTTTCGATCAAATGAAAGCACAAATCCTCAACTTTACCTCGTGTGCTGTTAAAAAAATTTTCAGGATTGAGGGAATAAGGCTCCTCTATATATATATATAGAAGGGTCATGAACATGTGCTTATACTTTCTATTTTTACATTCTGGGTTAAAAACTGTGTTTAAAAAAATGAAAAAATATATCCGATTTATCATTTTGAGTGTAACAAGTCCAATCTTGTGGACAAGAGTTTTCACACATTATAGTTAATACTAGGGTTAATATATTTGTATGATCTGAATTTTGATCATAATAAACATTCTAACCAATCTTTTTGATCTATAACATCCTGGCCCAAACTATACATCAAAATAACAACATTAGCCAAACCCGATGTTTGACCGTTATCTTGGACGGTCAAACACGTTGACCAACGGTCAACATGTCACATCACCGCCCGGTCATCATCAAAATCATTAAAATATTCATAATTTACACATATTTTCTGATTTTGAATTATTATAATTAAATTAAAGCAAAATTAAAAAAAAAAATTGAAACCCCCACTGGTGGCTCCCCTCCCTCTAGCAACCCTCTCCGCCGCCAGATTCCCTTCCTCCGCAATCGAGCTGACCCCGGCTGAAGCACTCCGCCTCTTGCGCCCGGTAGTCAGAGGGGTTTCCTCTCCCGCTTCTTGTTTCATCCCTTCAGCAACCACGTTTTCTTCGCTATCAACTCCCACCGCCGCCAGATTCCCTTCATCGAACGCTTCATTCTCCGAGTTGACACCGGCTGAAGCGCTCCTCCTCTTGCGCCCGGCAGTCCTGGAGGTTCCATCGATGGACGATGATCTGGAAGCAAGTTGGCCGCTCCGCCGGGGAGCGTAGAGGAAAGGAGTGACGGGAGTGATAGGGAGAGGAGCTTCAGGCTCTTTCGCTTCCTGTTTCACAAAATCCGCCGCCGCCGCATTCCCTTCATCGACCGCTTTATTCTTTGCAATCGAGCAGACACCGGCTGAACTGCTCCTCCTCTTGGACCCGGTAGTCAGAGGGGTTTCATTGATGGACGGTAATTGAAGTTGGAAACGGACCTTGAGAATAGGGAAATCAGAAAGAGGAGGAAGAGGCAATTGGGAAATCGGAAATCGAAGAAGAGGTTGGGGGAGTAGACAGAGGGCAGCCACGGGTGGATGTTTCAATTTTTGTTTTAATTTTTGTTTTAATTTAATTTGTAATAATTCAAAATTAGAAAAAATGTGTAAATTGCGAATATTTTAGTGATTTTTATGATGACCGGGCGATGACATTACATGTTGGTCGTTAGTCAACGCGTTTGACCATCTAAGATAACAGTCAAACATCTGGTTTGGCCAATATAGTTATTTTGACATCTAGTTTGGGCCAGGATGATATAGATCGAAAAGATTAAGCAAAATGTTTATTATGGTCAAAGTTGAGGGCATACAAATATGTTAACCCTTAGTACTAAACAATTGATGTATTTAGATATGTGAATATTCTAGATGTGTTGCATGGTTATATGTATACATATACCACTAGACTATAAGAGATATATATGAAATTATTATATTAATATTTTATAATCTTTTTAGTATTAAAATTATTTTAAATTTTGTTCTCTTACTTATGCAAGTCTTGCAATTATATATATAATATCAATACGAGTTATTATTACTTCCACTTGTAGTAGATTGATTGAGGTTTGAGGAAACCCTATAGCCTACAGTGACGAGCGGCATTGATTCGATGTGGGTACCCACCCGACCCGAATATATATATTAATTTTGGGGGATTTGATTAATTTTTTTTTTTGTCATACGGAAACGGAAGGAAAGGGATTTGATTTCGCATGCAGTCGGCGGCACATCGACATTTGGCATTAAAGCCCATCACGCGCTTCCCCACCAGCCACCACCACCAGCACGCAAATCAAATCCCCCGGCCCGTCCACATTCCCGAATCCCGACCCAACCTGCCTTACCCTATTCTTCACTCACCTTCACCAGTCACGACACCGAATTCATTTCACATGTACAATTTTAAGTTGTACTATAAAGACAAAAACTTCTATATAGTATTGTAAAATTTCTCTTCACATATATATACTAAAAATTGAATTTGTTAGAGTTGTTAAATGTATTTGTGAAATCTTACGGTATCCACAGTTCAACAGGAAAAAAAATTTATGCTAGAAAGTATATTGGGAGTACGTTTTTAGAAATATGAAACGGTCGAATAAAAATTAAATTTTAGTTTTAGTACAAAATATTTTTATTACTTACTTTTTCTAATATAATTTTCTTGTAAATTTTACTATCCTTGAAATTATATGTATTTAGCGTTTAATTATTCACTTAAATTAACGACTAGCATCAATGAAAGACTATATATTGTTAATTTACTTGAAAATTTAATAATATTATATAATATTATGCATGCACCTAAATTTGAGGATAACAATTTCCAACCTTTTATCTTTTATTTCATGGGTCAACATGTTATACTCCTGAAATAGTTTTAATTTTCATGTACTCATAGTGATATATACTTCATGTATTCCTTAAGTATATAGGTTACTTCATGCACCAATGACTTCAGTGTACTCACTTTTTTTATGTGCATTCAATGCATCTAACTCTAAAACTGACCATAATACATCAAATTTTGAATTATAATTGATAACATTGATCTAATATGATAATATAACATATAATCACAACTAACAAATTCATTATCCTAACCATTTAACCTTCAATTTTGAATCCCAACCCAAAACCTCAAATTGTAAACCCAAACCCTAAATCCCTAAATCCTTTAAATGAAAGTAAATCTTGAATGATTTTTTTGCAAATTCATGTGTTTATTGTTCATAATATCATCAGCGATTATCTATACCGTTTTGACATTAATCGCATGCTCGGAATAACAATTATGAGACGAGTGCACCGAATGCACAAAAAAAATTGGGTGCACCAAAAACACCACTATATATATACCATAAATTAATCTGATCAGTTTGAAATGATACTATACTTGACTTCGATTCTCTAAATCCAAACTTGACGATTAGTTTTTTAAAAAATAATAAAACTTGACGATTAGTTAAAAAAAAAAAACGATTCTAATTTGTCCATGACGTGACACCGGATGATCGCTGGTATGCTATCATACTATATCTCTCATGCAAGAAAAAAGAAATGAACAAGAGATGAAGGAAAAGAAGCCATGATCGACGCTGCCGAACTAAATACACAAAGTGAGAACGAAAAGAGACTAGAGAAATGGGAAAAGAACACAACAATGGCGACTTTGATTTCAAGAATCCACACGGAATCAGCTTTAGCTTTGGCTTTGTATTATGTGGTATACAGTACAACAGCGACACGACTGTATCATCAGATCAGAGCCCTTTGCTCTTTTATTTTGTCTCTCCTTTTTTTGTACATTTACTTCACTCCCCAAATACATTTCTGGACGCTATCTGTATAAATTATTATGGACACACACAGAACAGAAAAGGGGAAGAAACAAAAGAAAACTGCTTGGAAAGTGGCCAAAAGGGAAAAAGAGTATCATATGGACAGACAGATCCCCATGTGCTTTGGTATCAACCTGATTGTTCATCGTGCCTGCTGCTGATCAGCAGACAGCAAAGAATGACTTGTCAATGGAATTTATGTGTTGTTGATATTTAGTGGAGGAAGTTTCCCCCAACAACTCTTCTTCTGTTTGTTGCTGGTCTCCAGAGATATCTGCTCACAAATGGAATCCAGACCAGGTGAGAACTTACTAAGCTTACTTAACTAACTAGGGAAAGATTGACTTGACTTCTTGGTGGTGAGATGAGAAAGATAGTGAGCTCACCACAAGAAGATCTTCATCCGTTCCGAACGACTTGCGTGCTTCTTCTAAGCATTTGGATGAAATTTTCTCATTCTTCCTGCATTTTGCATTCGATAATTGGTTCATCGACTAGACCACATGGTTTTATTTGCAAATATGGGAAGTTTTGAAGATCCAGGGAATAAAACAAGAAATGGAGTGTACCTGGAACTTGCTGGATCTCGTATTTCGAATTCATCACTATCAGCATCGTAGCCACTATCACTATATAATGTCCTAAGAGGACATGAAAAGTTAGAACTTAGTATACATAAGTGAGAAATTCTCAATTCTAAACAGTGCAACAAAAAGGTACCCTATACACTAAGCATATCGATAAGAGAAATGTGTAACAACTTGCAAGTTTTTCCTACTCACCTACATACTCCCGGTTGCTATCGTCCAAGCTTGATAGGATAGCATCCTCTAGCCACGTGCGACTGCGCAGCATATATTTCATACAGGAGGAGTTTAATGACTCGACTAGAAGGAGAAATTAACGACAAAAAGAGAGTCGCGGAAACAAAGTTTATAAGCAAATGTACCTCAACTTGTATTGATTAACTAACGCAATGACGATATATTTCCCAGATAAGATTAAACAGGAATTTCTTTTTCATTATTGACCTGCACTGTAGAAAGCAAGGATTAAAGACTAAATCATGAAACCCTCGTTTAATCTGTACTCAATCATGTACCTTGAAATGGAATTCATATTAGAACCAACTTACATCCACAGTTCTATCAAATTAATACTAGTTCTAAACTGAAAAGAACATACCAGTATGTTGATCCCTTCTTCGGAAGCTTTTTCAAATAACATATCTACTCTAAGTACATCGGTTGGCAGTTGTTCCTGCAGACATTCAACTAGACTTCCATTACACATGAGGACAAGTAGTAGCGCGAACCATTGCTTCATCGATCATCAAAAACGTCGAAAAGTATTTGTACACTATAGCAAACCTTATAGTATGTCTCAACAGAGTAGCTTGGATTTGCTCCAATCGTCACAGTGAAGTATGAAAATCTAACTGAAAACCTCTTTAGCAGATAAGCCAAATCAACTGTCCAAATACTGTAAAAAGGAAATCAAAGGTAAGGTTCAGGTGGAGAATGTAAGAGATAAGCCACCCAGTAACATCAATTCCAAACCTTATATCTGTATGATACAGAACCAGTAACATGGATCCTTCCTGGAAAGTATTGATATGAAGCGATTCATCCTAACTCTAGCCACAGCTCTGATTAAACAGTATCAGAAGGAGGGATTGAAATGTAAGTCAAACCTAGTGGTGCTGGAAATGTCTGCCAAAGCCTCGATGCTACAATCCTGACACCAACGGTATTCAGAACCATTACAACATGCAAGACCACAATCCCAAACTGGAGCTGGTTTACATGCGGCACCTGTATCCAACCATGACAATTTGAGGATTGATCCCACATGTAAGATAGATTTCAGGCTTAAATTGTAATCTGAAACAGCTATGGCAAAATCTAAAAGCACTCACTTCAACGAAGTGTGACATGGATAAGTCTTGGTCATGCCATTTCCCGACTATACCATCAATGACATCATCATCATCTTCTTCTTCTTCTTCTGCTGCAGCTTCTACATTGAGTATCTTGCTGAACAGAACATACAACGCCACATCGGTGACACAGACGAACCGCAAACAAACCGCAAACACCAGTATCGTCCACAATCATCCACCGATGAGGATGGAACAAATCAGGCTTAAATTCCAAAACAGTTGTCTACTTTCTGCTAGAGCGTCCAATTGCTCCAGCTCTTCACGAAAATCCCACCTAACAAGGATCCAATTCACCGATATTTCATCAGAAAACATCGAATCGCTTACCGACGTTACAAAGCAAGCAAGTGAACTCGTTCATTCATGCTAGCCCAAGGTCAAACAAACAAACCGTGGACAAAATCAACACAGAAATGGAATTGGCCCGGCGGAAACGATCAAGGCCTTAATTCATAAAGGCTTGCAGATTTGTGAACAAAGTAAGGAACGAAACGGATGTGGTAATTGCAATCGCCCGGAATCGCGTTACCCATAGGAGAAATGAATCAGAACTCGATCAAGGGAAAGAAGAGCCGATTGGTCCGCAGGAGAAACGAAGACCTTCGAAACAGATACACAGCTGATGATGGAAGATCAACACAAGGATTTGAAAGAGATTAACGTTTACCTTTTTTACGTTTTTTTTTTCTGGAACGGATGATCGAAGAAGGAGGATAATTGGAGGGAATTAAGAGAAGGATAGAAGAAGAAGAACTCAGGGGAGTTCCGGCTGCAGGGGACTACTCGTTTTGGCTTCCGTTTGAATTGACATTCTCTTTTACAAAGTTTACCTTTAGAATTTCTTTCATTCCTTTAATTATTATTATTTTTTTTGGATAGAATTTTCTTTTGTTGGGGTTTGGGCGGTGCGGTGAGCTGTTCGCAGCGCAATGGGCGCCTGGAAGCCGCTGTGATTGCCGGTTGTCGGTCGTCAATTCATTGCTTCCTCTTTGATGAGGTTTGGGCCGTGAGTTCTGAGCCCAGTTAAAGATGGGCCCAAATTAGGGAAGGTGAAAGTGCAGAGCAAATAAACGGCCCATGGAGATTGTGCACATTTTTCGAATTTTACAAGTCGACTCCCATTTTATTCAGTTCTTTTGCATTGGTATTTTGATCCATTGAAGTCAGAGGTATTACTGCTTAATGTCAAAGTAAATCTCATTTTGATGGGATAGAATCAAATGATATCAAATCCCTAATGACATGTTAAAAGGACGAGACAATCGATCGCATGTTTCCGCCACGCGTCTCGTGGTTAACACTGTGGTAGGATTCAAACTCATTATTCTACGAAAGTTTGGTAAGAGTTTGGGCTTTAAGTCAAGTACTAGATAGGGAAAATAATACGGTGAATTGATAAGTGCATGCCCATAAATTGAGTGGATTGGTTTGAAGTGGTCCAATCTTTGATTTTGCAAGCATTGGTCTTAATGTGAAGATGGACAGGAGGATGTGAAATGTAAAATGCCAAAGCTTGAGAGTCGAGCAGAACTAAGGATAGTGCTGAAAAAGAACGCGCCTTTAAATTTTCAAATTTATATCGGAGTGATGCATATTTGTAAAGACTAAAGAGTAATGACAATTTGAACTCTCTTTTCGGGTATTATCCAATTCACCCGACTCTTGTTAAGTGACATGACTCATATTCATAAGAATAAGGTAATCTTGGTTTGGACACGAGAAAGTCAAAGGAGCAAGTTTTTTATATAGCTTTTGCCTTCTTTTCCTTCCGAAAGTTATAGCCGTTGCAGGTAATCAGCCTTAGGGGTTCATTAGATATTAATCATATCTTTTAATTACTGGGTTAGTACACAACACAGTGCGATTGTGCGAACAAAACTGGAAAAGAGGTCAGAGTTGAAAAGTAAAGCAGTATAATACAAATGGTCACGCCGGCAAACACCGCCGGGTGAAATCAAACAAAACTATCCGTTCCGTTTGGGAAAAGTTGCTCTTCAGATTATAAAAATGACCTTGTCAAAAAGAAAAAGATTATAAAAATGATGAGCAAGCCTGCCTTAGCTATCTGGGTGGGATAACGGGGACGGCTGTTTAGTATTAGTTCTTGTTATCAGGCAAAACCAAATGATTGGGGATGTTATTAAGAACTTTTTCTAAAAAAAAAGAGGGACGTTATTAATTTTTTTTACAATAAGAAACGGTATATTTCATTCGATGAATCATACACAAAAATTTCGTTACAAAAGCGGATCAATAATATTACAAATTAACACCCATTCCGCATATAGTGAACACAACGACCTAGCCTGACAAGCCACCCAATTCGCAAGTTTGCTCAACCATCGAGGGATGAACTCCATACGAATCCGAGGAGATGACAACAAGATGGATGACATCCGAGCCAGGGAGGCTCGACAGAGCCAAGGCCAAGAGGAAAGATTTTGTTGCAGGGCAAGTGACAACATCTAACAATCCGTGCGAATGCAGGCAGGTGTCGGTTCTTGCGTAGCGAGCAATATGGCATTAAAGATCGAAGGCTTCTGGTTGAATCGAACGAGAACACAGGAAAATCTCAGCCTTGCCATCATACACTTGACCATGGAGAGTCAACAATAGTAATCCCATAAAGCCGCCGAGAGAGTCTGAAACGAAGGAGCCGTCACAGAATTACTCGAGTCCCGACACCTACCTGCATTGCTAATTAAGTCAGGGAACACCTAACTACTTGACCTGATTTGGTATTCAAATTCAGATGTCACTTATATAAGTTGACTTGTCAATTTTTGTGTGTCTGAGAGCAGATAATAATATCATAAGTAAATTTGATCAGTATGCTAGACTATTTTATTAAGAAGGAAGTGCGAAAATATTTTGACACAAAACAACACTTTTTTTCAATACCCACAGAATTAAGTTGAATAACTAATTAATCACTTACTGTAAGGTAGACGAGCAATAAACGACCACAATATGTTCACTTTTTCAAAATGTAAAAATTAAAATGACAACATAGTAGATTGTCAATACCAACAAAATGTGGAATTAAAAAAAAAAGGCTTAATTGCAAGTTTGGTCACTCGAATTGCAATAAAATTTCACGTTTGCCACTCAATTAATTTATTCCATTTATAGTCACTCGAACTAGTTGAACAGTTCAAGTTTGGTCACTCTCCGTTAACCTCCGTTAACTTTAACTGACGTGGCGGTCAACTCTGACAGTTTGACCGTTAAATATGTGACGTGGAAAATAAAAAATAATTAAAAATAAAAAATAATTTTTTAGAAATTACACATCATTATCACAAAAAAAATTATAATTGTAAAAAATGAAAAAAATTATCACAAGAAAACTTCATCGGATGAAAACTTCATTCGTAAGAAGCTGGTACAACTTGTTGTTTTCAACGTTGCTTACTTTAAATCCAGACTTCGCAGCCTAGAAATATCCTGTTGATAAATTGTTGATCAAGAATTTTGCCCAGCGGTCTATGCTCTCGCTTGACTTGCGTCTTCTATATGTCTGCTCTCTCAGTGTATGAAGTTGTCATCCGATGAAGTTTTCTTGTCATCCGATGAAGTTTTCTTCCACTCTGCCAGCTGTTCCAGTGCCGCCGTCGACTCCGGCGAATTCTCTCCCTCCTGCCCCGCCACCGCCTCCGCCTCCACCGCCATTACCGATGGAATTCGTTAATAAAGATAGATCTAATAACAATCCAGGGAATGGATGGGGATCGTCTGCGTCAAGCCGGCCGCCGACGGCGCCAAGAGAGAAAACTACCAAAAACAGAGGATGGGGAACCCCAATGCACGATGCATCATCGGCGAACTCAAGCGGCAGAAGCACTCCATCATCTAACGCCCCGATCTTTATCCTGGACCCAAGAAAATCCCTGAACGCGGCGATCGTCCTGAAATCGTTAGCAACCACGCAGAACAAATCCTGAGCGCTCTACAGGAAGGCTACAGAGTTCGCCCGATATCTCGAGAAGCTCGCCAAGATTTCGCCCACCAAGGAGGAAGCTTCCCGAATCTCGCGATTCGACGGCAACCCGGCGAAGCTGGCCGACGCCGAGTCCTTCCTGTACAGCATCCTGAAGGCGGTTCCGGCGGCGTTTTTCCGGGTGGAAGCGATGCTGTTCCGATCGAGCTACAATGTTATCATAAGGAATAATATTTTAGTCCTTTTTTTTCATTGTGATAATTTATTTTTCATTTTTTACAATTATAATTTTTTTTTTGTGATAATGACGTGTAATTTCTAAAAAATTATTTTTTATTTTTAATTATTTTTATTTGCCACGTCACACATTTAACGGTCAACTGTCAGAGTTGACTGCCACGTCAGTCAAAGTTAACGGAGGTTAACGGAGAGTGACCGAACTTGAACTGTTTCAACTAATTCGAGTGACTATAAATGGGAATAATTAATTTGAGTGGCAAACTGAAATTTTTAGCAATTCGAGTGACCAAACTTACAATTAAGCCTAAAAAAAAAGATCATTAGATTGAACACTGTGATTTGATAAAAAGTATATCCCATGTTTCTCCTAATTTGTCCATTTGAAATAAAATAATTGGACAAATTCTTAGCTTGTGCCTTTCCGTGGGCAGCAGTAGCATAGCATGCAACCTTTTCCCCCTGAATTCAAATGCCATGAAGCTTTTTTGGTTTTTTCTCCTCACGTAGTCATCAAATATTCGATAGTTTAAAGATCAGCAGCCACTTCTTTTTGGATGTACACATATCCAATCATTTCATTTTGAATAGTAGGAGCAACGTTGGTTTCAATTTTGGTTCTAGCTAAAGTGGTTACTGCCATTACCGACTGTCACATAGAGCATAACAATTTCAAGCAACTTAATTATTAAAAGGAATAACATAAATACAACGTCTTAAAAGTAAAACAACCCCAAATTTTATCGGGAAAGAAAATAAACTACCACTATTTTCCCATCAACTTGAACCGCATATAATCAACATAACTAGTTTCAACAAGGGTAGGTTTGAATAATTGATTGTTAGATGAACAATGAGAGTAATTGTTCAGCAAGGATTTGGTCACCCAATAAATCTCAAGAGGTGGTATGAGATTTATAAGTTCGTGGAATATACAAATTTGGCACCCATCAAAGCAAACTAAAACATGTGATTTATAGACAAATTCATAATGTTTGTGATTAACAAGCTAACCAACTCTAACTCCATATATTGTGAAGCTTGTGACCACAACAGACACAATACATGCATTTTCCATCCAACGATTAAAGTTGCAGAAACAACTGAAAATTCGCAGGAATTACGAGGTTCATCAATTCGCTCATTTATTAGGCTGCGGGGAAAAAGCGCAACTAGTTTAAAATATTTGAGAATTAAATTTGAAATTTAATATTCTTTTCCACAGTTCAGAGAGCAGGTAAGCAAGCAAGCAAGCTCAGAGACAGACAACACAGAGAGCGTTAGGCCCTTTCAACCAATCGCATGTACTGCTCCTTTGCCATAACCCGTTCATTCTCCCTCACTTTCTTTTTCCGTCTTCAAAATCAAATTTCAGTCCCACCCCCTTAACTCCGAGAAGGAGAGACAAAGGGACTAGAAGTACACCGAGATAACCCAACCAGAATCTGAATTCCCCTTTTCTTCTCGCCACATCATCAAATTGGGATGACCCACGGACATCTGCCTTCTCAGATGCTAGCACCGGCCCATCGGCAAGCAATGAGAGCGAAGACGGATACTAGTGGCTGTGGCTGGTGTTGTCCCACTTTCCTCTGCTTTGCTCGCCAACTGTTTGAAGAATGGCCGAGCTGAATCTTTGAAGAATCCGGGCTTTTGGGGTAGCTGCAAAAGATTGTTGCTTTTCATATTTTGTGAAGGATGGCCACTGTGGCGAAGAAGGGCAGCGGAGGAATTGAGAAGAGGAGAGATGGGTCTGACTCCGCTGCTGTCAGCAGTAGCAACTGTGGGGAGTTGAGCTCCGAGGGAAGACGGAGCACTGCTGGTGCTGGGCCGTGTGGTTCTCCTTCCTCTAAAGGTCCTTTGGGTTGGCCGATAAAGAAAGCCGGAGAGAGGAAGAGCTTGTTGTCATCCGGCGGTGCATTGGAGGAGACGAGGGAACTGGTACTTGGTTAGAGGATTCGAATTTACACAAGCTCAACTCGAGGAATTCTGGTTGGTTTTTCTTGTTTTTCTTCCCTCCCCCTTAATTCAATTCAACTTTCCTGCCCATTCATAGTTTGGTCTGAATTTCTTTGTAGATGCGGATTTGATGAAGGAGAGGTTCGCAAAATTGTTGCTCGGAGAAGACATGTCAGGTTCTGGGAGGGGTTGCACAGCTATGGCTATCTCCAATGCTATTACCAATCTCTGTGGTAGGGTTCTATCCTTCTCGCTTTCTGCAGGGCCTTCCTTTTCTTCTTTGCGTTTTGCTTACTGGGATTTTGCTTGGGGATTCCTGTAGCTACTGTGTTTGGGCAACTGTGGAGGCTTGAGCCAATCTCTCCTGAGAAGAAGTCATTGTGGAGAAGGGAGATCGAATTGCTTCTCTGTGTTGCCAATCACATAGTAGAGTTATTCCTGCTTGGCAAACTTATGCTGACGGCAGTAAGCTCGAGGTAATTCTAATTGTGACGTTAAGTTTAAAATTCAAATTTGCAGGGGCAATGATTCAGTTTGATCAATGGAATGAAAGGCGTGGTGCTGTTTGGATATGTCTACTGATTTCATTATCTTCCATTTACAGGTCATGACTTGCAGACCCAGATCAGACCTTTTCATCAATCTCCCAGCTCTAAGGAAGCTTGACAACATGCTTCTTGTAAGACAGTCAACCTTGATTTTATCCGATTGTGATTTTCTCTAAACACATGATCATTCTAAAGTCTCAATCTTATTGTTTCACCCTTCATTTCGCAGGAAGTGTTAGATAGTTTCACCCACACGGAGTTCTGTATGTTATCAAGGGATTGTAGCTTCAGATGCGGATGGCTCAGCTTCCTTTCGGAAAGCTATTCAACGGCAAGAGGAGAAATGGTGGCTACCGGTGCCACGAGTCCCTGCTGGAGGTCTAAGTGAAAACTCAAGAAAGCAGTTGAACCACACTCGTGAGTGCACAAATCAGATACTCAAAGCTGCCATGGCGATCAACGCCACTGCTTTAATCGAATGGATGTTCCTGACTCTTTCTTGGAATCCCTTCCCAAGGTATGAACAAATTTAAAGCAAATGAATGATGAATTTTCCCTCCGATTAATCAAGAACAATGCACACTCAAATTGATA